AGCAGAGGTTCCGGGGCGGGGGGGGAAGGGACGGGTTAATATAGCAAAGCTTTTAAACAGTAAAAGGAAGGAAGAAAGGAATCGAAACAATTCCCCCACGATTCCCACCCCTTACATACACAAACACACACCCACGCGCGTTCGCTTTGAGGTTTCAATAGACGCAGGGGGGGGGGGTTGCCCCCCCCCCCCCAAAAAAAACAGGACGACTACGTGGTGGCTGCAAACAGTTGGGGACCTAAAGGAGCGGGCATAAAAGGAAGGGTGAGCGGCAGAAGCATTCAACGTGGGAAGGGCTTGCTTCTGATCTGTTGGCAAAGGATCCGGCTGTCTCCGAGGAGTCTTTTTATTTATTTGTTTGTTTGTTTGTTTGTTTGTTTGTAAACTGCCTGGTTCTAGAGCAGTGGTTCTCAACCTTCCCAATGCCACGACCCGTTAATAAGTTCCTCATGTTGTGGTGACCCCCAGCCGTAAAATTGGTGTCTCGGTTCCTAAAACCATCGAAAATGTTTTCCGATGGACTTAGGCGACCCCTGTGAAAGGGTCGTTCGACCCCCAAAGGTGTCCAGACCCACAGGTTGAGAACCACTGCTCTAGAGTGACTGAAAGTGAGTAGGTAGCCATATAAATTCTCTAAATAAATAAATAAAAACAGATGCACAGATGCATCAATCTTGCCATCACTCTAATCCCCACAACACTGTCAAATTATCTACTAAAACAGTATTACTATTATTCTTCCCTTCCTTCCTAGTACCCATCTCTTTCCCAGTACCTGTCTCTTCCCACTTACGATTATAACCATGTTGCTTGTATCTTTAAATTTTATAGTTTATTTCTTTCCTAGTATAATTTGATTGCTTATTAGTAATTATGATTATCACTAAGTGTTGTATCTTATGATTCTTGATGAATGTATTCTGTTTTATTTTTCTTTATATACACTGAGAGCATATGCACCAAAGACAAATTCCTCGTGTGTCCAATCACACTTGGGCAATAAAGAAGTCTATTCTATTCCATTCTATTCTAATCTAATCTGGAACAATCTGATGTGTGGATCTTGTGACATCACCATCACAGTTTACATCATCCCAGTTTGCAGGGACTGAACTGTAAATTGTGGTGCCAGAAGAAGGATGTGAGGCACAGACTAAAGGATAATATGTATACGCCTTTTAAGGTGCTAACTGGTGGATGGATGGAAGCAGGGTTCTTAATATAGGTTACATAGCTAGGTGTCAATCCCTCCCTTTTCATTGTTTTACATTATTAGAAAGGAAACGATCAGTAGACCTCAAACTATATATACTGACTTATGACCATTCACTCTGAACATTTGATGTTGAGGTGGTGCTGAACAAAGGGACGGACAAATGGTCCTTGAACCAATGGCTGTTGCAGCAACCCCATGATCACATGATCAAACTTCAGTTGATTGGCAGCCCACCTGTTCTAATAACCACAGGGGTATTCCACTCCTCACACTTGTCAATCTCCCCTCCCATCTAGGCCCCTTGAAGCCAGCGGGTCCAGCCACCCCAGATGAATTTTGCCATCTTCCTGCTCCCGCTGCCGACCAAGCATACCTGGCCGGGCCCTTCATGAGGCAGTTGGTGTCCTATGGCCAGTAGTTCCCTCGCAAAGGACCAGGACGGGCACACATCTCATCAGCAGTGGGAACAAGAAGGTGGTGAAGGTCAATTGGAGTGGTGGAATGCAGAGCAGTGAGGACAGCTGGAGCTTCCTGGGATAGGTAGGACTTTGTACTGCAAAAAGTCCATCTCCCGCCTCCCCCCAACCCCAAAGAATGAAATATTTTGGGAAATATTAAAAAGGCAGGATAAAATATTTTTTCCTAAAGAAGAAATTAAAAAAATCTTAAGGGAGGCAGAAACCAGCCACAGTTTCCCTGCCCCAAGCAGAAACTGAGGCACCCAGCTTTTAGAAATACAGATTTGGTAATCCATTCAGAAAGACTGGGCCAGACAGAAACTCCAGATAAGCAGTTAGGTTGACAAGATTAGCAGACAAACACCTAAGAACTGCATTTCCCCTTTTGCCCATAGAGCCAGCCATGACCCCATAGGAATCTGACAACAGCCAACAGAATATCAAAAAACATGTTCTTGCACAGAAACAGGAAGCTCAAATACAAAGAAGGTATAAAATCCACCCACTCTCAATTCCATTTTGTCAGCTGCCTAGAAATACATGTGGTTGGTGGTTCTGCTCATCAACATTTTGTCAATCTTACCTGAAGTACACAACTGCCTTTGCCAGACACACCATGCTTCTTAGGGTTACCAAAGATTCAAAAAGAGTTTGTGCCACTGCAGCCAATTGTGAACGTCATTGGTTGTTCTCATATAATATTGCCAAATACCTAGCTGTACATTTATAGCATTACATTGGACTATGCCAACATATTCAGAATTTAATTCATTGCAGCAATAAGCTCAATTTTGGACAGCAGAAAGCAAGCCCAATAAAGGAAGAATGCAGGTCAGGATGGGAAGGCAGGTTACTTGGCTCCCCTTTTTTGACACACACACACACACACACACACACACACCAGATGCCCTCTTCAATGAACCATTGACATTATGGGAGGATCAAAGGCAGCCTTGGAGATAGTAACAACAGTGCAAGATTGGAATTTGAGTACAATCAGTAAGTGACTAAGTTGTTTTATTACTTCAGTGAATTTACACTTTAGTATGACTAACTGTGGATCCAATTTAGACCTTAATTTTATACTTCCTATCTACAAATAAGTTGAAATGAAATTTCAGCATATATATGCATCATCTTGAGTTTTATTTATGTTAACCATGGAAGGAACTCTGATCTCACCATAGTTTACCTGCATTAATTTCCTAAACAGGAAACAACTCAGTGTTATGCTACGTACATAATGGTGTTTTGAATACATTTGTATTTGATTCACTAATTAATCACAGACATCAAAGATGCAGTGAGGGTGCAGGTCACAACTTGTAAATGTGCCAGCAGATGGGATGGACCAGAAATATAAATATCTAATTTCTATCAGTACAGAATTATTATATTACTCAAATAAAGAAGGAAGAGGAGGAGGAGAAGGAAAGCAGAAAACTCTTGATAATCCAGTACTGGATTATCTAGTAAAACGAATGGCCTCATATTCTTCATTTTAATAAGCCCAGTTTACATATCAGTATTACTGTTGATAATGAGTAAACTGAGAACAGCAATCTAGAACTATTAATGGTCCTGATTTAAAGGCAGCCACGTCAACTGCATACATGCTTGAAGGGCTTTTTAAATCAAGTCCCTTTGTAAGAATCATCTTGAAGGCCACCTTGATGGATTCAAGGAGAGAAACCAGTTTCTTTAGCCTTGCTAGAAAATTATATCAAGAAAAGGATTGTTGCTTATATCTATGGCTGCCTTAGGTTGAAGATCCAGATTTCTCCAAAATACCCAAAAGGTGGTAGCTATCTTAGATTTAATTAGCATGAATTAAATGTAAAGTGCCTTTTAAACCCATCTCAGGCTTCAAGTGTCCCTCCCCCTTTTTTTTACGTCTCTTAATCTAAGACATAATTGATTTCAAGGCTTGTAAGAAAAACCCAATTATTTTATAATGGAGGTCAAAATAGTAATAGTTTTGTCCTGAGTTCGTGGTGGCAAAGATTGGATTTAGCACAAGGGTTCATCCTCCTCTTTCTGCTTGCACACAAGATAAAAAGCAGTGATATCAAAATGAGGACATGTGCATGATGATGTCATCTTCCAAATGCCACAATTCCATACTTGTATCATGGTGTCTGGTGCAAATAATGTTACATAATGATGTCATGACATGCCATGTTTTTTGCTCCCTTGTTCTCCTGCTTGAGTACTGTTATTTCTCAGGTGCACAGTTGCCTGGGTTTCACCCGTATGCACTCTATATATTTGTTCAACATACTTGTCAGTCTTTGCATTATTAATTTTTAA